TGTAAGATGGTATGATGCCATCTTTTGCACAGCTTGCAGACTGGTGCTTTACAGTTGATTCTTGAGTGTCTGAATCGAAGGCACTTGAAGCATATCTTTGCCTTCTTGGTCATATCCCATTTTTCATTCAGGTTGGCTTCTTTGAACCTTTTACATTCTAATACGAAGTGTTCTTTTCCACAGAACGGACACGACTTCTTATATTTCTCTTTTGACGCTTCTTGAACCAAATGAACGGGTTTTCTTATTCCTCTTCTTTGTTCTGAGGATGCTTCGGGCGGGGCGAAGTCTCCGCACATGTCGGCTTCTGTTTCTAGGAACGCTTCGATAAGTAATAGCTCCTGAATTTCCTCATCTCTTCTGCTTCTGTGGTAGGCGAACCAACGGAACTTCATTGACGTCGGCATCTTGTCTACTATAACTCTCAGCGTTTCAGGTGAACTGAGATACTGTGGTTTCTTCAGGGCTTTGATTGTCTTGACTGCGTTCTTTACTTTGCTTGCAAATATGCATATGTCGCTCGGGTTTTCGCCGAGTCTTGGGAGGTTCTTCATTTTTTCTAGTTCTGCTAATGCTAGTGCTCCAGGTCTTCCGAATCTTGCTTCCAGTCCCTTGATTACTTCGCGTGGGTCTTCGGCGGTGCACAGCAGGCTTTGGACGGCTTCTCTAGCTCTTCCTTGGATCGCTATTCTAAGGCGCGCTAGGTTTTGATTGCTACTGAAAGAAGCGGCCGTATCCTCGTATGATCTTTTGAAGGCTAACCATTCTTCGCAGGCCCCGTTGAAGTGAGGGAGTTCGAGGTGCTTCGGTGAAACGGTGTCACGTGATTTTTCTGATAGCTTTAGTATGACTGAAGCTAGTTCCTGGATGTCACTTTTCTTTTCTTCTGCCTCTATTGGTTTGTGGTTCTTATTAGGCATGTCTCCGGTCAGGATGAACCAGCGTTCGACTTCTCGAGTTCGTTCGAACAGCTCTTCTCCGGCACCATCTTCCTCTTCTGATTCCGCGGTGAGAAGTTCTAATTCCGCTTGAGCAACTTTTGACCGCGCTTCTGCCAATTCTAGTTCCCTTAATGCCATTGTCATCTTTGCTTGCGCTTCTGCTCTCTTCCTATGCGACGAGCGAACGGAAAGCGTGTCTGGATCGAGGGTCGTCTTCTTAGGGTGAGGCTGCTGCAGAGTCTTCATTGCGACACTTCTTTCTTGAATCTGCGGCGTTGGATGACTTTCTTCTTGGTGAGGAACTGACGCTTCGACGGTGCGTGTCGGAGGGGGGGGGGTATGGGTTACGTCCCCCGGTGTTGATTCTTTTCCGGCAATGTTCTTGTTAAGAAGTACGGGTTGTCTGTGTACGCTGCTGGGCGATGCTCTTGTAAGCGTCGATCGATCTGAAGTCGACGTGTTAGTAGCCGTCGTGTTTGTAGAATCACTCGGCGTATTCATGCTCCAATCCGTCGTACTGGTACTCGTAGTGGCGTTACTTTCACTCGTAGTCTTCGACTGCACTGATTTTGATCTTGTATTTGAAGGCATCTTCCTAGTTTTCCTTAAACCCGATCCGGCTTCTCGAAGGACCAATGTAATTGCTCGTATAAGGGAGCGTTGATAAAATAGAGCGGGTTTGCTGGCGGGATGTTAACTGGAGAGCATACAGTAGCAGTTAGATGAGCAATAAATAACACTTCTTGAGAGTTTCTTCTTATTTTATTTCTTGATTCCTTATTATTACATTGCCGGATTTGGAATGTTTTACCACGAAAAAACGCCCCTTTTTTATAAGCGGCTGTAACCAATCATAATTAAGAAAAAATCGCACACGGCATTAGTAAATCTATTGACCAATCAGAGCACAGAATAACCCTTTCTAAGAGAGATTTACAATTTCCTTAATAAACGTGGTAAAACGTACCTTACAACATTTATATTTATTCCTAACGATAGATACAACTTATTTCTATTATTCTAAACCTAAATTATTCAATAAACCTTTATTTTACACTTAAAAAAATTAAAAAAATAAAAATAGCTTCGCGGTCGCTTCACGGTTTAGCTCCGGAGTAGGATAGTATTTTTTGCCGAACATACAAGTAGCGCCGCCAAGAGGTAGGAATGTACAACACTTTTTCAGGAATAATGCTTAAGAATCTATACAATATTTTATCATGAAATTTAAATCTTTCTCATAATGAAATAACATTATATAGTGATTAATTGACATATTAATGTTTCTTTTGAATTACTTTAAAGGAAAAAGAATTATATTAATCACCTATATGTTAATAGCTCTTAAAGTTATGATAAAAGAAATCTTACTAGAAAATAAGCTTATACTTGCGTCTAATGTTCTAATCAGACCTAAATAATATTAAATAGATTCATATAAGTTACTTTAAGATAAGAATAGTAGTGTTTAATTTACTTTCCTGTTTTCAGCACTAATCAGTCTTTACACTTAGCTTTATTTTACGAATAGGAAACAATTAAGATTAAATACTATCACTTAGTTTTAAATCACTGATAAGGAATAATTAAGATTAAATGTTCGAATTCACTTTGTCGTCGCTAACAGAAATAGTTTCATGTAACAATGCTACTTCCGTAAAACATGAATAATAGTCCACAATAATTCAGATATGATTTTTTACCATACTGAAATATGTCCGTCCCAATTTTACTCCATGGTAAATTTGGAATAGAAACAGCAATCATCGGTTCCTTACTCGAGTTATTTGAATTCTTTCGACACACTACACACCTATTTACATATCACTCTATATCATAAGAAATCCCTGGCCAGAATAGCACTTCACGTGCGCGCCTTTTACAGCGGTCTATCCCTAAATGTCCATCATGTATAATTTTTAACATTTCGGTTCTTAAGGAACTGGGAATTAATATTTGTTTGTTTTTAAATATAACGCCATCTACACAAAATAAATCTCCTCTCATAGACCAATAATATTTTAAATTGTCTTCAATATCTCGTTTATATTCCGGCCAACCCTGATTTATATATCTCATTAAAAGTTTTAAGTTATTATCTTTCAAAGTCTCATTTTTAATTACACTTAATTTTTTATGTGAAACGGGCATGTTAGAAACTACCATATGTACTTGACATAATACATTATCACTCACTTTATCATTATATAGTTCTGGAATAGGAGCACGTGATAATGTATCGGCCAAGTACATATATTTTCCAGGCTTATATGTAACTATCAAATCATAACATTGTAATCGTAAAATCATTCGCTGTAAGCGTGCTGGTATCGAATCTAAGGGATTTTTAAAAATGCTTTCTAACGGTTTATGATCTGTTTCAATTAAAACATCACTTTTACCGTAAATATATTAGTGGAACTTTTCACACGCAAAGAGAATAGCTAGCATTTCTTTTTCTATCTGCGCATATCGTGTCTGTGTGTCGGTGAGTGTACGTGAAGTATATTCAATAGGTCGGCCGCCCTGCAACAGCACGGCTCCTAGCGCTACACTGCTCGCGTCCACCGAAACTACAGCCGGTTGCGATACGTCATATAAAGCCAACACGGGTGATTTGCTTATTAAATCTTTTAATAAATCAAACGCATTCTGTTCTTCACTCTCCCAACACCATTCTGTGTCCTTTTTCAATAATCGAGTAAGCGGATAAATACGCTCAGAATACTTAGGTATAAACTTAGATAAATAATTTACGGCTCCTAAAAATCGTTCTAATGATTTTCGTTCTTTTGGAGTTGGCATATTTTTTATTGCTTTTACTTTTTCTAAATCTGGTTTCATCCCGTTTTTGTTAAATATATGACCCAAGTAAGTCACTTCCTCAACGCATATACGACATTTATCTTTATTAAATTTTAAATTAATTTTACGAGCCCTATTTAATAATGCATCTAAACGCCTATCATGTTCGTCTTTATTTCGTCCCCAGCATATTATATCGTCTATAAGAGAATCTACTCCATCTAAATCCTCTATTAATTGCTTAATCTTAGCATGAAACGCCTATGAAGCGCAGTTTAAACCATAAGGTAATCTTAAATACTGATAGCGCCCAAACGGTGTACTAAAGGTGCATAAGTCTGAACTCTGATCATCAAGTTTTATTGCCCAAAAACCTGAATTTGCGTCTAATACTGAAAAAAAAAACTAGCTCCGTGAATTTTAGTGGCAAGTTCCTTGATGGTTGGCAGTTGGAAATGTGCACGCTGTATAGCATTATTAAGAGGTCTCGGGTCTAAGCAAATTCAAAATGTTCCATTCTTTTTTGCTGCAATTACTATTGAATTAACCCATTGAGTTCTAATGACTCCTAAGTCAGTCATCCTGTTTAATTCTTCTAATAATTTATCACGTAATCCTAGAGGTACTTTTCGCGGAGCATAAACTACAGGTTTAACTGATTTATCAATAACTATATGGTACTCACCAGGTAAGCATCCTAAGCCTTCAAAAAAGATCCGAATTTTCTACCAAATTAATGCCGTAAACCCGTTGAATTAACCCTAGTTCCGAACACGCTTGTCGACCCAGCACACTTTCACAATTAATATTTGCTATTGCAAATTTTAAAACATACATTTTACTTTTATGCCACCATTTAAGATGACAAACTCCTCTTATCGGAATAACATCCCCGCTAAACGACTGTAATTTCATTTTATTATTATTGCATATCATTTCCGTGTCAAACCCCAGCGTTAAAAATCTCTTATAACATAACACATTAATGTCGGCACCGGTATCCAGCTTAAAACGTTCAAAGCCACACTCACCTCTTAATACCTCGTACCAGTCATCGCTGCCGATTTTGTTCTGCGTTTTATCCATTAACACAGATACATAAAACGACTCACAATCATCATTATCAGATTTTTCTGTATTCACTTCTATTTCATACATTTTTTAACACTATTTTTACATTTGCACAACCTAGCGTAATGGCCGTAGTTACAGTACACATAGCATTTCACCGAAATAGCTGGACATAAACCTACATCAGTACACTGAGCACCACAACGCGGACAAGGCGACGTCGCGGTCCCGCCGTGCGCAACTCGCGCGCCGCGCCGGCCGCCGCGCCCGCCCCGCCCGCCGCTGCGCCCGCCGCTGCGCCCCCCCGCCGCTGCGCCCGCCGCTGCGCCCGCCGCTGCGCCCGCCGCTGCGCCCGCCGCTGCGCCCGCCACCGCGCCGCTCGCTGCCGCGCATCGCCAGCGCCTCAACGCGCACGGGCCCGCAGCTCGCCGAACTGCCGAAGCTACCTGTTTCCATCACACGCTTGCTGTCTGTTGACATTTCATCAGCTTGACATATTTTAATTGCTTTCTCCAGAGTCAATTCATCTGTCCGTAACAACCGGTCCCTTACAATTGTGCTCCTTATGCCGCACACAGTATTCCGTATGGTCGCGAATCAACCCTTGCTCTAAATTTTTAAATTCACAGTTTTTACTGAGTAACTTTAACGCTGTTACATATTGATCAATAGATTCTCCAGTTTCGTGATACCTCGAAAAAAAATTATATCTCAGTAATGTTATATTAGATTGAACACCGAAATACTCGTCAAATTTTTTCATCAATATTTCGATGTCCTCACGCTGCTTTCTGAATCGAATGTAAAAATTTCATAAACATCAAATCCATCTGATTCCAATCAGATTAATGAGCAAACTCGCCTGTATGCTTCCCTCTTCTTTGTGCACCCCCCGATGCTTTAAGAAAAAGATTGAATTGTGCCTTCCACCGCTTCCATGCGTCAGCCCGGCCGACGGGGCTGCCATCTAAACTCAATTCGGTTGGCGGTCTTGCATGTTCCATCCTTTACACTTAATTTAGAATACAAATTAACGTTATTCAAACGTAAAATCCAAAACTATTTAGGTATCCCACCGCAGCCACCATGTAGTGACAATGAAACAACAGAGTTCAGATGACAACTGTTTTATTTATAAAGGCGGTTTTCTAATATATAATATTTTAAGACTACCCACAACACTATCTAGTGGCGTCACTGAGATCCTATACCCACCTTCGAAGTCCACCATCAGCTAGGTGATATCATCATTGTCATCTTCATGAACATTTTTGTAAATGAGTTGAAAAAAACCACGGTGTTCTACGTAGCATAACTAAGATCCTTTACCCATCTTCTGAGTCAATCATAAGGAAGGTGACATCATCACAGTCACCTTAGTTTATTCTCCGTCAAACGACATTCTCTAAATATATAAAATAATAAGAAGTCTAAATAGCATAGAAATAATGTATGTAGGTAGTTACTAAGGAAGTAGGTACTTACCAGTAATTAAAACGAACTGAAGCCAGCTGATTGTGGCGCGCCCGGTGGACTCCGTGGAGTGTCAGTGCCATGCCAGTTAAAATATTTCACACTCATGATCAGTTTTTGGAATTACGCCAGTTTGACTGAGCAGCTTCAACTGACAGTGCGACCGAAAAAGTCCGTGGGTTGTCGTCAGTTAAAAATTTCAACTTAAGATTCGACACTCACGGTCAGTTTTTGGATGTACGTCATTTCGACAGATCATTTTAACTGACCGTGTGTGACGTCCATAAGAGTTGAAAATGAAACAGGAGAAGGGCAGTAGTACCGTTCCTATAAAAGTTTGATGGGGATGTGGGTTCTGCTACGCCACCACCGGGAGTATAATACATTATAATAGTGTAAAGGATAGATGTTTTCGTAGAAACGTTTTTTTTTTCATTAAAGGTGTGACCATACACATAATTTTATTTTTAGATTAAAATATTCATTGATTGATGCTACATTAAACAGTCGTAAACTTTACCTAATCCTTATAATTGTGACATTAATGTTATAATATTAATGCCAATCAAGTATATTTTATACAGATATAAAACACAAGCATACCTGTCAAGTTTCACAGTTGTTTTGCGTTATTGTCGTATAAAGATGTGTTTTAACGTAAAATACTCGTAGTAATAGTTGCTAGCGCTGATATTGGTGCTGAAACCGCTATTTTGTTTGCTAAACAGTCGGCTAAGGTTGTCCTTGTTTGAAAAAAATGAAGGCGCTTTAATTATATCGTCAGTGTGGCCAAAAATGCGGAGAACCTAAAGGCATTGTACCACTTATTGTCAAAACCGCATTAAATAAATTAAATAACGATAATGATGTAAAAATACTGTTACAAAGACTAGTGAAAAGTTTGGTCGTATTGGCGTTCTCGTGAATTATGCCGGTCTTGGGTTTAAGGGCGATATTCGTGATGGTGTTGATTTGTATGATCGTGTCATGGCAACTAATGTTCGTGCAGTATATTTGTTAACCAGTCTCCCTACTCCATATCTTGTACAATCTAAAGGAAATGTTGTCAACTTTTCAAGTATTGCAGCCTTTAAACCAATCAAAGATATTTATTTAATTCTTACCGTATTGTATTTCAAAAGCTGTCCTAGATCAGTTCACAAGATGCGTTGCTTGGGAACTGGGCGAAGAAGTAGTTCGTATTTATGCCGTTAGTCCTAGTTGTACAAAGACTAGTAGTAGCAATAGTGTTTTTGTTTGAATTATGACGTTTAAAATGAAAAAAAAAAACACTCTTATGTGTTTTTTGTCATAATTTAATTTTAAATTAAAGCATCCATCACCTCGTATTGTTAGTACTATCGGAGGACTTTAGGAAATGTTATATATTCCAATAGACGACCGTATAATCATTACGATTACGTTAATCACAAAATAACTAAATCAGTGACAAGTGAGCAAGGAAAATGAGCAGCGAAGGAACAAAAGAGTGACATCTGACACCATGATCACCAATTTACTTGCCAAGCCTGGCAAGTCAAGTAAAGATAAGTGTTTTTTCTCAAACAAATTAAAACACCATTAATTCTGTTTCTCATTATAAAATTTTTTATATATACTTTATTGTACACCACACATATACAACGAATAAATACATTACAGAGGAAACTTAATATATACGTATGTACAATAAGGCGGTCTTATCGCTAAAGAGCGGTCTCTTCCAGACAACCTTTGGGCTAAGGAGAAACTGGAATTAAGAACAGTAGGAGGTGGTGCGTTTTATGTTACACTTACATTCTAATATCTAAATAAACTAAACTATATATTGTTAAAATACCACAATAATACATAAAAAATAATAATAATAAAATAAACATACGTATTAATAAATAGGTTTATATATATAAATATATACACATACATATGTATACATAGATAATAAATAAATAAGTATAAATCTGTTGCTAGAATTGGTTATCAATAACCACAAAGTGTTAGGTAATGCTTCTTGACGTCACTTTTGAAACTTTCCAAAGTTTGTGCTCGTTGAATTTGGAGTGGAAGTTCATTCCATAACCTTATGGCTTGGCTCGTAAAAGAATATTTCATAAATTTTGTTCGAAATGAACATGGTTCTAGAATTAGTTCGCCGGCTGACCGAAGAACTCTATCAGGTCGATCATGACCAAGAAACTTAAAGTTTTCCTTTAAGTAGCTTGGAGTCAAAGGATTGAACAACACACAGTACAGAAGAGATACAGTTTGCAAATTCCGGCGAAAGCGAATGGGTAACCACTTGAGCTGTAAACGATATTCGGATACATGATCATATTTGCGCAAACCAAATATGAACCTAATTGCAATATTTTGAATTCGCTCAAGTTTGTTCAGTTGGTCTTCAGTTAAATCGAGGTAACTTGCGTCCGCATAATCGAGAATAGAGAGAAGTAAGGATTGTGTAAAATGTTAATTAAATAGTAATATACTAAAAAGGAATATTATGTTAAATATCTAAGTATCGACGATTTTTAAACATCTTGTTTAGATTATGTGAATTTGTATTCAAAATGTGGGTACGCTATCTTATATTCAAAAAAATAGGAGCACTTTTAGTATGCTAGTATTTTAGTTATAACTAAATCCTCTATGATGTTAACAAATCACATAAATAGAATTAAGTTTTCCTTCACCTAGTCATACTTTGAAGTTGAAAAGTTAAAGTTACAGCTTAAAATTTCCTATGGTTCGGCATAGGCCCACCTTATTTCTGAGAGGGTTACCGTGCTCAGACACGCAGATATTTTCCTGGACTCCCGAAAACAAGGAAAATAACTACATCATTTAAAGTAGTGATCCTTGCAATTTGTATTCAACATTTTTTTTTGAATTGCAATCAATTTATATCGTGACAGCGGAGATCGAACCCGAGTTGTCAGCGTACTATGAAATTTGCGCGTTGCACTTAATCTTTTGGTTACATTAGCTCTTACTTTGAGAGATTAATGACCAAGAAGGCGTACTATATATAAAAATCCTTGATTTATTTTTATGAAAACATAGACGTTTCTTTTTTTGTGTTTAAGTTCATGAATTAAACTAAACGATATACTACCCCTACCAAAAATATTTAATATCAAGAAGTATTATATAATTGCTTTTTCACCATGTTATCTTTCTTGCCATCATCGTGTTATCGTGTTATCAATTATCATCTTGTTATCTTGTTATTCTTCTTCAAAAGTATGATAAAAAATAGTCGTTCGCCATTAGCAAGGCTCATTAGCAAGGTCGACCTCGTTTCACAATCCACGCAGTAGATTTTTGGTAGTTGTTATTGTGATATCGCCGGCAATGGACTTCAGTAACAAAGTTGTCATAATTACGGGTGCTAGCAGCGGTATTGGGGCGGCTGCAGCTGTTTTATTTGCAAAACAATCTGCTAAAGTTGTGTTAGTGGGAAGAAACGAGACGGCGTTATTAGGTATTGCAAAGAAATGCAAGGATGCTAAAGGTATTGAGCCCCTTACTGTCAGAGCGGACCTTACTGATGAAAATAACGTAAAAAAAATATTTTATGAAACGATTGAACGATTTGGGCGTATAGATGTCCTTGTGAATAATGCCGGTATTGGATTTCGTGGCGGTATTCGCGATGGTATAGAAGTATATGACCGCGCTATGGCAACTAATGTTCGTCCTGTCTATTTGTTGACTAGTCTAGCTACGCCTTACCTCGTCCAATCTAAGGGGAATGTCATTAACGTGTCAAGTGTTGCCGCCTTGAAACCAATAAAAGATGTTGCATTTTTGGCATATTGCATGTCAAAAGCCGCACTCGATCAGTTTACTAGATGTGTTGCTTTAGAATTAGCAGGAGATGGTGTTCGAGTAAACTCAGTGAATCCAGGCGCTACAAAGACTAATTTTGCAGAAGCTGCAGGATTTAGTAAAGAACAAACGGAAAAATTATATGAAAACCGAGACCAAAATAATCCGCTTCGCAA